GTAAGTGTATTGAAGCCTGTCCTTTAAAGGGGTCCTATAATGCCCTTTTCACAAGATGTACAATAAGTCTCTGATGTCCCCAGAGTATGTTTATGAAGTTTTAGCTCAAAATACCCCACAGATATTTTTTATATCATGTTAAAATTGTCACTTTTTGAGGGTGAGCAAAAACACACCGTTTCTGTGTGTGTCCCTTTAAATGCAAATGAGCCGCTGCTCCCGGCACAGGGGGCGGAGCTTCAATAGCTTAGAGATGGAGTTAACTATCTTCTAGTCATTGATTAGCATATTCTGTCATGATAATCTATAAATTGTGGTCCGGGGGGGGGGGGGACTGCAGATGCTCAGGGGGAACTGCTCAGACTGCAACATTACACACTTACTAAAGTGAAATCATAATCAAACACCCTTTAAATATGCATCAGGAGAAAGGAAAGCTTGACGTTAAGGTTTATAAAAGACAACAAGCCACTTGTGCTGGCCTGAGACCGGGAGAAGCAGAGCGCTGTGTGTGTGACGAGTGATGCATTGTGGGTAATGCGTGTCGATTTTGAGCGTGATTAGAGAGGAGAGGCTTTTGATTTCAGATGTCCTGATGTCCTTCGGCAGTTATTCATGAATGCAACACTTTACTTTGATAAACACGTTGTCTGTGTGATGCACATGAGAAATGAGAAAGGTCATAAAATCATGTGAACAATTTTGCAAAAATATCATGGCGTGATTTTGTTTTTTTCAGACAGGATCATGATTTATCGCGATTCTGAGCAGTGCAACCGCACAAATTTCCTTATTTATAAATGCAGTCTTACAAGGGAACCAAACAAAAAAGAAAAAATATTTCACTTTATTTTATTTCATTATAGCATCTTTGTTATTAAAATAAGAACAAAGATTAAAATGATGAAAGGAGAAGAAAGATGTGAATGAAATAAACAGTGCTTTATTTTTTCAGCTACAGTAGGATGATGTAAATGAATGATCAAAAATGTAAAAATGAAACATTATGTATAATAAATATAGATTGATTCTTATTAAAGCTGCTGAAGTTACTCAGTCTAGAGCGGTGAGAGAGTCTCTTTTACTCTGTTGTTGTTTGATTAACATTAATAAAGCTCGAGTTTTTACTGATATTCATTTTTTTTTTTAAATCTGTAGGGCTGAAACTGAATTAGTTTGAAGTTTAATAATAATAATTATGACATAAAAAGTCAAACTCACAACCTCACAGAAAGTCATAATTTTGACTTTTTATCTCATAATTATGACTTTGTATGTCATAGTTATGACTTAGTATATTATAATTTCAACTGTCATAATTTTAAATCATTTTAAATCTAGTTGACTGCAGTGACTGTAAGTTATTTCTGTGAAGGAAAATTAAATAAAGTTATAAGAAGACCAACACTGAAGTGGAACAACAAGAGAAATATGTTAACTTTTAACATAATAATTTCACAACGTTACAGAAAATCATACGGGCCTTTTAATTATACACCACCATTCAAATGTTTGGGGTCAGTAGGTTTTTTCTTTTTTCTTTGATTTTTTAAAATACTTTTATTTATCAAGGACACATTTAATTTAAGTGACAGTAAAGACCTTTGTAAAGTTACAAAAACTTCTATTTCAAATAAATGCTGTTCTTCTATTAATCAAAGAATCCTGAAAAATTAAATAATAAAAATAACAAGCAGCATTTAGCGGGGTTCAAGCATTTAAGGCCTTTAAGCACATAAGCATTAAAGGCATTAAGTTTTATTTAGCAAGCATTTAACCACTGACATCATAGATGGAAAAGACCCAATACAGCCAATACAGGCAATTTACCATGGGTTTTAAAGCTTTTTGACAGTTATAGCGCCATCTATGGTCCGATCTACATACAATTTTGCATGCTTGTTTACTATGTTATGTCACATATGCCCAACAACTTTTGTGAAGTTCTGAGTTTTCGTTTAGGATTTATAGGCTTTTGAGTGTATTTTGCCACGCCATTTTCTAAATGACCCTGTTAGCCATACGAAAAATGCAAAAGTTCAACGTTATTTTCGATAATTATTGATCTAGAGAGTCCAGAGAATTGCCCTAGACTGGTCTGGTTCTGATCGGGCGAAAAACCAGGGACTAGGTCGCAAAAGTAGGTTTTGGACAAAATTCGACATAGGAGAAAATGTTTGCTGCCTAAATCGAAATTGGAGATATACATCTTGTCCTGCTTGACCCAAAGATCACAGTGATCACACTCGAGTCTAAGTCAAACGGTCTATGAGTTATGAGCGGTTTAGTACTTTTGGTTGCTGTAGCGCCACCTATGGGCCAATCGGGGTCATACTCTGATAGATTCTCCCCAAATTGAGGCCTGCATCTGCCCAGGTTTCAAGTCTCTAGCACTTACGGGTTGGTCTGCACGATCAGTTTTACAAACCCTTACTATTATAATAGGGTTTCAGCACTTTGAGCTTGAACCCCTAATAATTCATTACATTTATGTAGCGCTTTTTCTCGGTACTCAAATCGCTTATGTATCACAGTTTCCACAAAACCAGTATGAAATATGTTTTTAACATTGTAAATAATCAGAAATATTTCTTGAGCATCAGATCCTCATATTAGAGTGATTTCTGAAGGATCATGTGACACTGAAGACTGGAGTAATGATGCTGAAAATACAGCTTTGATCACAGGAATAAATTACACTTTACTATACACTAATACTAATTGAATTAATGTTGTATATTATTGTTGTATATATGAATATAATAGGCCTAATCATTATTATGTAGATATAAAATATCATTATTATATATATAATTAAATATGTAATTTTATATGTATATATATATATAGTTTTTAGATTATATTCATATCTATAGTCAAAATAATATAGTATTAATAATAATATATTAATTATATTATTATTAATAATTACATATAATAAAGTCATATGTGTATATACATACATCATTATTATCTATACTTTTGTAATTAATATATACTATATATGATTAATATATTTGATTATATATTATTATAACATTATCGTATATTATTATTATGTAATTATATATTATTATTAATAATATAATATTTTGACTATAAATATATATTGTTTTTATATTATATTCATATATAGAGTCAAAATAATATTTTCATAATTATGAATTATTATTATTATTTTATTTCATTCTTTTGATGTTCTTGACAGTTTTAGTGATGAAAGCGTGTCTATCTGCTGCAAGCGCTCCGTTAAGCACTGTACTGAACACAGCAGGAGGAGAGATTACTCTATTCCCCTGTGTAGCGCTTTGGGTTTGAGAAAAGCGCAATATAAATAAAATGTATTATTTTTATTATTACTGTGGTGAGATCATGAAGAGGAGAGACTCTAACAGTCACATCTTCATAAAACATACGCACACACACACACACACACACACACACACACACACACGCTCACACACACACGCTCACACACACACCCACACGCGCTCTCTCACACACATGCTCTCTCACACACACTCGCTCACACACACACACACACACACACACACACACACACACACACACACACACACACACACACACACACACACGTTAAAACACACTTGATATAAATAGTTCTTGATAGCGCAGCTTTATTCCCGCAGATCGTGAGTTATTTCTGTGCGGGTCTGACAGCGTGTCATTATTCTCTGCACACTCGCGGCTTTGTGATTTTCTTTTTGTCATCTTCGCGTGGCATAATTACTCTGCATGATGGGCTCTATTATTAGCACAATTAGCCAATAACCTGAAGGCGTCTAAACTCCTCACGTCCCAGCGAGAGCTTGACCTACAGTACACAGTATATTAACCACATTCACCACTCGAGGTGTGAAAGTTCACGACTGCACTAACGAGCTCCTGCGCGCCGGGATCCTAATGAACCGTCACGTGACCCGCCGGGATCCTAATGAACCGTCACGTGACCCGCCGGGATCCTAATGAACCGTCACGTGACCCGCCGGGATCCTAATGAACCGTCGCGTGACCCGCCGGGATCCTAATGAACCGTCACGTGACCCGCCGGGATCCTAATGAACCGTCACGTGACCCGCCGGGATCCTAATGAACCGTCACGTGACCCGCCGGGATCCTAATGAACCGTCACGTGACCCGCCGGGATCCTAATGAACCGTCACGTGATCCCCCGGGATCCTAATGAACCGTCGCGTGACCCGCCGGGATCCTAATGAACCGTCACGTGACCGGCCGGGATCCTAATGAACCGTCACGTGATCCCCCGGGATCCTAATGAACCGTCGCGTGACCCGCCGGGATCCTAATGAACCGTCACGTGACCCGCCGGGATCAAGTCAAGTCAAGTCACCTTTATTTATATAGCGCTTTTTACAATACAGATTGTATCAAAGCGCTTCACAGTGATAACATGAAAACAATATAACAAAGTTTGTTTCTAAAAGAAAATTGCGTCAACGTCCACCTTAATTAAGGCAGATCAATAATATTATTGAATATTAAATGTCCCCAACTAAGCAAGCCAAAAGCCAAGGCAACAGTGGCAAGGAACCAAAACTCCATCAGGGACAGAATGGAGAACAAAACCTTGGGAGAAACCAGACTCAGTCGGGGCCAGTTCTCCTCTGACCAACGAAGGAACAGTGCATGATTCGGTCAGCATTACAAGTCAGATTGGATCGGAACATTTAGAGTATTTATCCATTTCCATCCTTTTGAAGTCCAAGTAATCATGCCGATATTGAGACAAGTTGTTGAGGATCAGTGCCGTCCACCATAGAGAGTCCATATCGCCCGTGTTAAGTCGTCACTTCACAGGCTTTGTGATTGGGGCATCTGAAGTCTCCTAATGAACCGTCGCGTGACCGGCCGGGATCCTAATGAACCGTCGCGTGACCGGCCGGGATCCTAATGAACCGTCGCGTGACCCGCCGGGATCCTAATGAACCGTCGCGTGACCCGCCGGGATCCTAATGAAC